CTGGCTCAGCCATGGCGGGGGGTGGGATCAGGCTGGTCCTGGCAGCGAGATGTCGCGGTGATAAAACGGGAAAGCGCTAAATAAACCCACTGCCCACGTGCCCCGTTACCCACCGCCGCCTGGGCCCCGGGAGGGAGCTGTTCCCGCGGCTCTGCTGCACGTCAGGCCCCATGTGGCCGCAGGCCCTGACCCGGGGGCGGGAGCCGTGGGGGCTGTGGGCGGGGGAGGGCTGCTTGGTGCCACACACGCCCTCCGCTGCGAGTGGCCGGCTCTGGGGGCGAGGCTGGGACCCGGGGACAGCGGGGCGGGGGGGGAGAGATGGGGTGGCCCCCTCGTGGGCCTCCTGGGACAGGCGGCCTGCTGGCCAGGCCACTGCCACCCGCTGGGCTCTGACCCTGGAGCTGCGTCCACCAGGCCGCGGCCCTAGAGCCCTCTGGGACCCCGAGGGTGGCCCGGGTCCCCTGTGCCCAGGCGATGACTTGGTGGGACCCCGAGGGTGGCCCGGGTCCCCTGTGCCCAGGCGATGACTTGGGCGCCAGCACCCGCCACGCGCTGCACAAGGCCACGTGTTCCCGGAGCACCGGAGCAGGAGTCCCCAGGACCACAGGGACAGGAGGAGCTGCCCGAGCCAGCTGCCCAGGGCCACCAGAGGCCTGGTGACAGGAGCCGCAGGGTGTCCGCCTGGGCACAGCCCCTGACCCAGGCGCTGTCCTGCCGCCTCGGTGGCCTCGCAGTCCTGGGTGTGCGTTTCCGCCTGTCACAGGAGGGGCCCAGAGGGCTGAGGGCCCCCAGCGTCCCCGCACAACTGGGCACCAGGCAGCTCGGCCGAGGCCGGCTCTCGGTTGGGTCCCTCGTGCCCTGGATCCAAGGCTCCAGGAGAGCAGGGACCTGGGAGCAGACCCGCCGGAGCCGACTGGCCTGGCCTGGCCCAGGACGGGACCCCACCCCGGGCACAGCGTCCCCTCGTTGGTGGGTCCAGGAGCCGGGCAGCACCTCCTCCTCCCGGCTGGCCGCGCCCCTTCAGCCCCCGTGAGCCGCCCCCCACTCTGGAGGCCTCCCCCCTCGGCCTCCCCTCCCCACCCCAGAGAACAGCATGTGCAAAGGTCCTGGGGCAGCAGGGGCTCTGTGCAGGGGAGAATGGAGAAGGCAGGCAGAGAGCGGCCACCGGGGTCCACCTGAGGAGTTAGCTGAAGTCCTCTTCTGGCCGCCTCTCCCTTGCTGAGTAGCTCGCACTGAAATTGGTAGCCATCATGGTTAACCGTGTCACTAACTGGACACCGTCTCCCCACACGTTCTCTGTGCCTCAAGGCGGGGATCATTACCTGCTTTGCTCATGCTTGTGGCTTCAGCACCTTGGACAGCACCCAACACACATTCGGTGCTCCATAAGTGCTTGTGAACGAAAACTAAACAAATGGCATGTGTACATGTTATACCCTATCCTGAATGCTGCTTCTTTATGCTGCTTCTTTATCAGGGTTTTGGAGTTGGACACCCTCCTCCTAGGGAGGCAGCAAGCAGAGAAAGCATGATAATCACCTCCCCTTTTTTGCTCTCCATACTCCTGTTAATACAATCATTTTTTCATTTTTCTTTTTCTTTCCTACTTTCCTGTTTCAGGAGAGGAAGATGTTAAAATGTGGATGTAGTCAGAAATACTTTCAGCCTTCAGACAATTCAGACTTGAGAATCAAGTGATGGCGGAAGAGCTAAAAAAAAGACATTCTTGGTTATTAGGAGGAGAAAGAAGATGCCATTTCAATGAGATCGGGGCCAGTCAATGCCGGAACATAAAGACAGACGCTTCCTGTCCTCGACTCGCAGACTGCCCGCAGCTGTGCCTGCCGGGCCCTTGGGATGGCTCAGCAGGACCTGAGCCCAGCGCGTGGAGGGCACCGCGCCAGGATGGAGCAAGGTCACAGCAAGGTCACGGGGCTGCGTGGGCAGGTCCCCAGGGGTCTGCCGTGCGGGGTCCTGCTGGGCTGAGGTCCTGCTGGCCTGTCCTCCTGGGCAGGGACGTCCCCAGGCCTCCAGCACTCCCCATCCCGGGCCTCGGCTCCCTGTGTCCCAGGTCCCTGTGCTGCCCCGGGCCCAACTGGACGGGAGGCCCCTGGACCTGGCCCTGGACTCGCTGCTCGGCCTGTGGGGAGGGCGGCCAGGCCAGCGGGGACAGAGGTGGCCAGCACAGGCTGTGACTGTCACACAGCAGTGAAAACAGGTCCTGGGGGTGGCCCTGTGGATGGCCCTGGGGTGGCCCTGGGGGTGGCCCTGCGGGTGGCCCTGGGGCCGCGTTGAGCAGGATCCTGAGCCTGGGGGGGGGGGCGTGACGCCTGGGGACGGCCCTTGGGGAGTGCCACCTCGGCTGGCCACGGGGAGAGCCCGACCCTGTTCTGCAGCGCAGCACGGTCAGCGCCGCCCCCGGCCATGCTCCCTCCTGGGGCCGACGTGGAGGAGGCGTGGTCTGGCGGGGGACGCCCTCCTGACCCCTCCTGGCAGCGAGTCCAGGGACGCAGGCTTCTGTCCCCACCCCTGGGCCACCTGGTGGCACCTCACACTGGTTCTGTCCTCCACACTGCCCCAAAGGGGCGCAGGGACAGGTCAGCTGGGGACTGGTGGGCAGGGCTGTCCCCACACCTGGCCCCACTCAGCTGGCCACCTGCTCCGCCCAACGCCAGCCGGGCCCAGGGGGACGGTACCACGGCCCCGGCCACCTGCCAGCACCCGCCTGGAGTCCCTCCAGCCTCGTCTGCCGCAGGTGGCCGGTCCGCTTTGTCACTTGACGTGGGCTGGATGGACCTTGGCGAGTGAGAGGAGGAGGGGACACTTCCAGAGCACAGAGGTTCCTGGAAGCCGCCTGACAGCTCCTGC